CCTTGAAAATGTCAGGCCAAATGATTGTATACGTCTTCATATTTGCATGGTTCTAGTCGAATCCGTTCCGTGCCATTAATTTGTGAGACACAGTTACTGATTGGACATGAATTGCCGACCTGAATAAATTGGATTGAGCGGACATTTTTCAGACATTCTACTGCCCATGAAAGATTTTTATTGACTTTCAGGCTAAAACCTTCTACTGAAACTTTTGATGAATGCCTCATTAGTTCCCGAATATTATACTAAAGAAGTCATAACTCTGAATGACCAACATATGAAATGAGTCGTGTTAGGCTCGTTCTATTCTTGTTGAATCCTAATTTGGTATCACATATGAGTTTGATTAGCGTCTAATAAATGAGAATAATCTCTCTATAGTTTTTCTCACATTGTTTAGAGCATAGTAGTCGAACTATCGGTTTTTTTACGTAACGGTTTATCGCATGTACACTTGCATCGAATCAACGTGAACTTGAGTTGAAGCAAATGGAGCTACTGTCATCTTCAACCACTGATACTGTTCCACCATTGCCCCCGAACACTCAACCACTTGAGCATCAAATAGCTGGCCATTTCTATGGTCGGTCGCATTCCAAATATGGTCTTCTAGAGCAGAAGTCAACTGGCTTGGTACTCAAACCATTTATAAGTGCACCAAGGGGTCCTCGAGAACATCAATTTTATGTCGATGTGTTTTCAAGTGAGTCGTCCGCACAACTACAAAACCTTCGTCCATTTTTACCGACATTCTTTGGTACACACGAATTCGCTGGCATGCAGTACCTTATGCTTGAAAATATTCTTGCAAGATTTCAACGGCCTTGTATTGCTGATGTAAAGATTGGCCGGATAACTTACGATAGTGATGCAAATACCGAAAAGAAACAACGACTAACAAATAACTTTCCAGCAGCGGCTGATATTGGCTTTCAATTACTCGGTTGGAAAACTTATCGATCAAGCGAGAAGAAATATGTTTATCATCATAAGTTATGTAGTCGTTCCATTGAAAAGCACGAAATCTTCAGCGCCCTTGCTAATTTCTTCGGGGCACCTGAAAACGATCATCGTCCAGTGGTACTAGCTGTGCTTGAACGTCTTCACGCTCTCGAGCATTTGATGAAGGACATTCACAGTTTTGTTTTTATTGCAACGTCTCTTTTAATAGTTTACGAGGGTGAACAACATCAATCATGTGCTCAGCCAATGCCAAAAGTCGACGTTCGCCTCATCGATTTTGCACACGTGTTCCCAGTCAAGGATGAAGACGGCAATCCAACTAAACAATCAGACGAAAATTTCCTCTTTGGACTTCGTAGTTATATTGAACATTTAGAAATTATAGCTCACGACAAGTTCGTATATCTTCCTCTGGAAAAGTTAAACCATAATGAATCAGCTAACGCTCTGTCAGCCTGTTATACAACATTCACTTGACTTCTCGATTTTTTACTGACATCAGACGATAGAGTTATCAATTTATTCATTCTTTAGTAGAGCTTTTCAATATTAATCAACACTTTTTGATTCAAAAGCCAGCTAGACATACCGAATGCCAAGATACATATGGGTGGGTGTGGAATACATGTAGACCTTTTAACTCATGTTCACACCTGTATGCGCAATATTGAATGAAATCCAATAGCGATTACTTGCAGTTATCTTATATAATTGTTTGGCACAGAAAAGACCAGCTTTCTCATAAGAATAATTTTTTGAATTATTCTTTCCTATTCTTTTAAAACCTTTAGCTGATGTAGATTACAAGCTATTCTATGAATCATTCAAATGTGAAACGGTCAAAACTTTTCAAAATAACAGAGTACTATGTAAGATGTTTTTCTTTTATCAAGTGCAGTTTCGCAACAGGGATGTATTCGTTCAATTCGAAAACTTGTCGATACTCAAAAGAAATGCACTATAAGATGAAATGGGTGATTATTAGAAAAGGGTGTGAATGTGGGACAAACTCTTCTCTTGAAACTCAGCCCACACCCATCAAACGCGGCATCATGAGTATTAACTGAGAAAAAAAGTACAAAAAGATTGCAGATAAATGAATGAATGAGAACAACCTTTTTGATTAAAGAAAGTGAAATTAGTTATTTGTTTGCTATTAGAATTATTATTATAGATTACAGTTCTAAAGAGCGCAAATATGAGAATATTAAAACATATAAGTACATTGTTTTATGTATACACCATTCATGTGACATTTGCAGGAAACAATACTAAAAAAAGAAAAAAAGCGGAAAAAGATACTTGCTTGATAAAGAACACAATCATAGACGGTTTTAAGCGGATAATGCGTCAGATCAATAGAAATAGCGAGCATATTTTCATTTTACTTGTTCAAAAAGTTTATTTAATCTTGAGAGGTCATCTGCGTACACCTTGGAAGAATTCGTTTGCAAAGCATTAACCATTTATTCCCCAAAACAATTTCAGAGGAGCCGGTTGATAAAATAACCACAGCGATAGTGTACTGATCCCCTCAATATGCCAACAATATTAGTAAATCGATCAGATAGCTTATCCTTATCATACAGTGGGTTGGTCAATTCAATGATCATTGGGAGAATGACATGAAAAATGATTTTTTTTTGTATATTTTCTTTCACTCTATATTTATAATTTTTCCTTAATAACTATGCATATATAAATCAACGATCATCATTATTTGCAGATACATGAATTACGTGTAATTCTTAGGCATGAGCAACACGGTTCTGACTCTTACTCTGGGTTTATTTCATCAGAAATGAAGCTGGGATCGAACTCGGCACTACTTTGATCATGTCTTCAGGAGAGTGTAGTATAGGTAAGAGACAGAGTTATCCATTTTTATTTTATTGTCAGATCCTGTTCCAATCAGAAAAACGGCTTGGCCTCGGCCCTGGGTCTTATCTCATTGTATCAGAAGAGGAAATCGCATTGTCTACATTTAATAGTGGCAAATCATGCTCGTATCTGTAAATAATGTCAATGATCGACTTAATTATGCGTAATTATCAAGAAAAAACATACATACATCAGGACATAAATTATACAAAAGAGACACTTTTCATGTGATCCCCCTAATGGTCACTCGATTGATCATTTTATGTATTATCATATCTTATCTACCAAAGTGCTTTGAAACTTTCGAAGCACATGTAAATCGCTAGTAGACATTCTTCCCTATTTAATAAAGTGTTGAAGAAAACGTCGAAATCTATTTCTTGACGCTGTAATATTGAATTCGACATTTTTTTGGAAACACCTAAGTTCGCAGAATACTTGCGTAAAAACAAAACGAAACAAGACGATTTTCTCGAACGTCTTTTTTTAATATCGTTCCCGTAGGACACTACTGCACAGTCTACATGAACTGTTCAACCATCATCATTGACAATGATGAGTTAGCAACTACTCATGCGGATGTTATCAGCTAATTGGAAACGAAATCGAATTACTGCTTGATTTAGTGATTCTAAACATCATCCTGGGCAATCAACAGAACTACGAACGACTACTAGAGGTTTCTGGCGCTCTATGCATAGACGAGGAGAAAAACTACTGGATAGTCAAAATGAGCTGGTAGTGTAGAAATTCTACACAATCAATGAAGTCGGCATGAAAATAACTTACAAGAAGGAAGCCACTTGTCCGCCATCATGTAGAACTTCCATTCCTTTACCTTTTCTTCATCTGAAATTTTAAGTGAATATATGAACAATTCAAATAAAAGTATGCAAACATGAAAATGAGCCGATCGAGATTGTTTTCATTGCGATCAATGCGGGTGAGTGAACGAATAATTCATGAATCTTATAAATACATTCATCATGAAAATACTAGCCGACTTCTCCAAGCAAGTAATCCATTATGCTTCAGAATTCAATTTAGATTCTAAATTCTAGACCGCATTTGAATCAACCCATCGTCTCTTAACAATAAAAAACTAATAAAAAAAAGACGATTTAAACATATGCTTAAGAATATCTTTATTATTGTCAATGCACTGATAGCCTTCATTTGAAAATATCTGACATTCTATCTGATGATGTAGATGTTAAAATTTAAGATTTAGCTTCATGATCCGTTCAGAAGAAATTTAATTCACGCTATGCGCTTCTTTATTTGACTCGTACATTTTTTTCATTCAGTTCATGGCTACCGGAATTTTGGTTTGTGTTCAAACTAAACTCATTGATCCCTAAAAATAAATCTAATTTTTTTTAATTAGTTGCTAAATATCGTACTGCTGAGCAGGATGACATAGTGCTCCATAAAATCACGTAAGGATATGGGTGCGGGTCGATCGAACATCGTAAGGGGAACCCCGCAGTCAGAGGCATCATAACAGTATCCGAAAACATTGTTTGGGCGTCGAAATCTGTATTCCTGAAAACGAATATTGACATCTGGAATCCTTCTCAAAAATCTCTATTGGTTGTCGGAGGAATTTTACAACGCGTTTGGATTTTTTAGGAAATAAACTTCTTTTTTGTCGAGAGCAAGATATCTTTCGATTTCAACAATAACTGTTTGTTGGATCATATTGTGAGAATCAGTTTGTTCTAGAATATGAAAAATAATCGGTCATAAAATATAATTATAATTAACGGGCATGATCAATAGTTACGAAATATCAAAAAATATAATTTTTTTGAAGGCATATAGAACTTTGCATCTTGCTACGAATGGAAACGACATACTGAAAATCACTCAATATGAATGTTGTGGAGTTATCCACGAGCTTTCATTATATGAGTTTATTGTGAGATAAAAATTATAGTATTGTATACAAATTCAAAAATATCGTTCGTTATAGAATTTCATCCTTTTTTACAAATATTTCAATGTAAAAGATTCTATAGGTTTAAATGGCAACATCCTATGAAATGAATTTATTTACATATGGATACAAATGTTTTTGAATTACATATATTACTTACCTATTTCAATTAGTTTTTATTACTGTATGCAGTTTTAGTTCGTATAAAAGAATTACTCGCGGTTACACTATTTCTCATTTCATGACATAGGGTTAATTAACATTCAAAAGTTTATGAGGACACTTCTGAAATTTTTTCCCAGTTCAAAGCTTTGAAATCTGACTTCATAATTTTTCTTGCTTGAGGTACGCCTCAAGGATCCAAAAAACGTCTTAGTCTTTTATTTATAAAATTTGTATCTACTCTGAAATAACTCGTCATGCTGATTACGAATATCATAGTTTTATTGAAGTTTAACAGAATGCTAGGAAAAATATAAGGACATTTCTTGGTCGAATCCTTATACAGCTCTTTTACAGAAATAAAACTCATTTCTGACACCGAAAATCTTCTAAATTAAAATTAATCATAGGGAAATGAATGGAAAAAGGCCGACAGGAAAAATGCGCACGGTTTACTTGCTCGCGGATCGTTTGCCTCTGAGAGAAAAATTGTTATTATGAACAAATGATTATACTATGGGTATGAGTGTGGGTGTGAATGAAGTGAAGACAATTTTCACGCTCACACTCGCATCCACATCCACATTCATTCTTATCAATATGAACACTAATAAATTTACTTGTATTTATTGAGTAATAACGACTCGAACTTTATTTTTCATGCTTTGTTTACTCATTTTATTGTTATATTTATGATTTTGAAAATAAAATAAAAATTTCGTAGTTCTTGCTACTTCTCTAAATCTGTATTTTCTACTGGAGTATAAGCATGTACTTTTTATTTCGTGTGTACACGATCCGTGCGCAACTTTCTTAGACCCCTTTTTTCATCATACCCTCCGGAATACAACTTCAGAAAAGATTTTCAGATCAAAATTTTTTTCATTTTCTAGTTAAAAACGTATAAAAATTGATAATAGTAAAATCATAATATCTGTCTTATTATTCTATCAAACTTTGCTAAACGTATGATATTCATGATCAATCTGATGATTTCTACTAGATCAAATACACAAATTTCAAACTGATGACAAAAGTCTTTTTCTATCTCTTGGTTCAAAACTTTGAACTGATGTGAGAAAAAAATATCAGAAGAATGTCTCCATAAATACGAAAGTGTTCTTTGGTTTCGATTTCATGAAATAAAAAATAGTTAAAACATGCCACCACCTTTTATGAAACAATTTTATCTTGATGGGATTCCGTAACGAAGTATTTTTCGAAAAACTTCACCAAAACTCAGGCAGGGTGTAATTAACATTGATGCATTTGATAGTTATATAAAAGATAGATCTAACTACGTAGTAGAATTGCTAAAAATCAGTCTTCAGTAGGAAAGAAAAAAAGGCATATAAGTATAATTCGTTAGGAAATTTCACAAAAGATATATATAATATTAGAATAGAAATATTATCTTGCTTCAATATAATCTAAATGTATTCTATTGTTCATATTCGGAAAGAATGAAATGTTAGCTGTTGATCAGTACTGGATTAGTAAATGAATACTTATTTCGCTGTTTTTTTTATTGACATTCTATTCATAACGACCGACTAAATCAATATTATTGATGTTTTGTCTTTATCCATTAATTGATAAAAAAAAATGGTCATTACCGTGCTATTTGAATAGTTGTTTCAACTATAAGAATGAGAATAATATTCAATCGGGACTTATAACTTTATTTAGTTTTTAAAAATTTAAACATTTTTTTTTTGATTATGTAATCTAAAACTGATGCACATAAGATTCAGTAGATGAATTAGAGGAGAAATCCAATATATTAAAGATTCTCGTTGACTTGAGACACAGTTGAAGTGTCCAAAGCTTTGATAAATTTTTCAGTTTCTTTTAATAAATGTTTCATATGAGGATAAGAACGTAGATGCAATCCATCTTTTTGTTCTTGTTTATACAGTTCAACATCATTTGGTCGCATTAGACTCCATTTTCCAGTAACAGTATAAATAAAAAAGTCAATCCAACATATTTGGTATGCTTTCCAAAATCGTTCCCATTCATATGAAACTCCATTTTCTGATAGAATTTCATAATAGTAATTAACAAGTTCTATCGAGTTTTCGATTACATTTTCATGGATTGAAGTTGCTATGAAATATGCAACATCAATAGCTATGTTTCCAACACCAAACCATTGCCAATCGATTGCATATACTTGACCTTCGATTTGATTGTTGTCAATAAAAATATTTGTTACTTTGAAATCACCATGAATAAGTGTGTGAGACTCCAAACTATTGAAATAACGTGCAATATCATCTAATTTCAATTCTAATATTGAACCAAAATCTCTGGATGAATCTGGTATTTGAAGTTCGTCATGAAAGTTTTGAATAACAGAATCCCAAGCTTTTCCTATGTCCTTTTTATTTGCCTTCAACAAGATAAAAAGAGAAACGTCATTTTATGGAGATAACATGAAAAATCTAGTGCCACATGCTAATCCTTAAAATTTTAATACTATTTTTATTCGTATAAAATATGGAAGACTTAATTATATTCCAAACGAAGAACTCGAAGTGTTGACAAGCTTGAAAAGTGATGATTCATAGTTTTCTTTCATTCATATGAATAATATATCTGTTGAACTGATCATATAATCGAACGTAGATACAAATTTTAAAATAGTATTAAAAGATATCTCTTGAAGTAATCGAACTTTTTCGTACATTAAAAAGCATGCAAAATTCTATATTTCGATCGAATTTACCTTGCAAGATGACCGTTCTCTATATCACATTCAAGTAAAAAAATATCACTCTCTCAAACATTGCTTATGAGTGAAATCGATAACCATATTACAATAGCTAAATTCTTGCTTTGCTATATGAAATTACATTTCAGATATTTATCTTAGAGCTGAACGCAAATTGATACGGTAGAACTCTTGATTTCGATATAGCGCTGTAAATCAAATTCGGTCGTTGTGCTGCTATCCGTGTAGATCAATTATAGATTGTGAAAAAACAAACACTGTAAAAACGTAAATCTTTCAATCTTGAGTCACTCGTCAAATAAATACCAGTCTCTGTGAAAATTAGAGTTAATGATATGACTATGGATACAGTTTTTGTCTAATTTCACTCAAAGCAGCAAGTATTTTTTCAGATTTATGTTAACGATGAGGATAGTAATTTAATCACCAACCTAGCGCAATTGCTGAAAATCGTTTCAGTCCTTGAGCACTCCAAGCAGGTATCCGTAGGTCTTTGGGGAATCTTTTTTCAGAAACGAAATAACAGAATCATTTTCTGAGCGTTTGGTTACATTTTGAACTTTTAAACGCTTAAGTATCCAGATACCAGGGTACTAGCAAGGGTAGATAAGTTACCATGAACTGAGTATGTTGACCTGAGAACATATTAGAACTTCTTTTCAAGCTGTGAGTAGTTAATATAAATAGAACTCAACGATTTGGTTCAAGAGAAAACGTCTTCAGTGTAACGTGGAGGTTAATATGGGAATATGTATATTGAGTAAGACCTCACAAGGAATGACTTGTCCTAAATGGAAAAGTGTCCATAGTCTATTTCCGGAGAGAACTTGAATTTTTAGTGGGATTCTCAATAAAAAAAAACTATGCCCTTTTCCTCAAACGACTTAGAAAATCGAATTTCGAGCTTCGACGTCAAACTTCACATAAATGAACTGCTCGATAAGACTAGTTGATTTGAACAATTTTACTCATTTAAGTATCTTCTATCATGAAATATAAGTATTTAAGGCTTTGTCACAAGGGTGATTCATTCGAAAATGCATCATAATGATATCGACTTTATGTGAATGAAATAAAGATTTCTGAATTTGTGTACTTGCACTTGTTAGCATAGCAGTCGGCTCAAAAAATGCTGAAAACCTTGCGCAAGGATGCAAATAACGGGGGAGGGGGTCAAGATGGGACCGGAAGTTTTTTTTATGAATTTTCTAACGATGAACATTGATATCGTGTCCGAAAATAAAATTAGACATAAGTAGACCAAAATAAATGTCTTATCGATAAACAAAACACTTCAAAATATGAGCTTCTGTTAACATTCATGAATTGAAATATTGAAATTTTAAGGTATTTGCAATGTGTGTTAGATCTGGAAAATTCATAGTTTAAGATGAGTTTGTTTTCTCTTTTTAGTCATGTTTTGGATAGAATTTGCCGGGTTGCACAAGAAAATTTATTTTACAAGGAAAAATGCGAATTTGAAAAAAGTTCTAGACCCCCTTGTTTTCAAATATAGAGAAAAATAGATTCAAATTTCTAATATATATAAAACTGTTTTTTCAAGTTTGAAACACTAAATTTTCTTTTTCAACTTGACGAGCTCTATCCAGTCATGATGAGAAACATAGAAAACACATTATACTAGAATTGTGAATCATAGCACCTTACATATATTGTAAATAATTTAAAAATGTTATATCTCTGTTAGTGAACTCCATCAGAAGTTCATATTTCGAAGTTTTTTGTTGGGTAATGAGACATTTAATTTGACCTGAATATGACCAATTTTATTAGTTGATAATACAAACGATTTCATTTTAAATGAAAAAAAGTTATCTTTTAATCAAAACCGAAATACCATAAAAACAATTCCACATAAATTAGAAGAAAAATCATTTTGAGCTTCAACTACAATATATTTATGACTCCTAATTTATTAATTCTAATCTTCTATTGAAAATTTGAATATATACCTGACAACTGCAAAATCACTATGAACATGCCACGAATAGGTTTATTTTTGGAGAGATCAATTGAAAATCTTAACAGAATTATACCACAAAAAGAAACATGTAGCATACGATTCAATGCATTTTTCATTTCCTCTTTCAAACAATGAAAATCGCTTCTCTCTATCTTATTTCTAGGAAAATTTGTCCAAAACATATCTACTCAGTGTCCTTTTTTAATTATTAGGCATTAGTATAACCGTCACGTTATCATAGAAAAAACAAGCTTTTCTAGAAACTTTATTATTTTGACATTATTTGAAGAATATTGCCATAACACAGAACTTTAGAAAGTCATTTTTAGGATCATTTCATATAGAGAAAGATCTTTAAACTTTTTCGAGGAATTAAAATAGTTCCATCAATACTTTTGGTATACCTTTAGGATCCCCTAAGAAAATTCATATTTGCCAACACTGGTTGAAGTTGAATTTTTATCATGGAAAAATACAATGAAGTTTCCTCTCTCAAAATATATATGGCTTTTGAAAACAAAAAGACCGAATTTTAATAGCTTTTCGTAGGCGATTTTCATACCATTATCATAGCTTTCGAAAGATTTTTCTATTTTTTTTATTTTTCGGAAGATTGTTTCTTCACTTGTATCAACGATAAATAAACGTTTGTATATAAATTAAGTACAACCCTTGGTGATAGCTTACGCCATCTGTTGTGTATTTTCAAAAATTTTACTTAAATATACAGCGAATATAAGAATATTTCCTGAATTTGCATGAAAAAATCCACGTCTAACTTATGTACTATATTTCTCGGAGCATAATTTTCAATAAAAAAAATGAGCTAACTCGCATCAAGTTCAAGCTATAAACGATATTTTTTCGTTTTAAAGATCTAACTGACAATAAACTTTTGTCTGACCAGATTTGTTATAGTTAATTTCCCTGTTAAGAAGAACAAGATTTAATGAAGTGAAGTGCTACATGTTTTTTCTTATCTATAATTGTTTGTACTAAAGTGATCATAACAAAAGAGTGTAAACAAATTTCAGAATTTTGTACGATGGAAAACTGCGCACAGATGTTGACGTTAATTTAAAACCGTCATGAGCTCTGCACCTCTTGCAATAGCGAAGTTATAATGATTCTCCTGAGGACCATAACATGGACCATAAAATAAGCCCGAATTTTCCTCAAGTTTGACGTATCAAGCTGCAATTTTTACCAGAAGCGTTTCTCACTAGGACACTTATTCCTACAAATTTCAACCCAAAATAGATCATTCTAAGTGGAACAACTTTTATGAAGAAGAGGGAGACTTAACGTGATTGACAGTAATTTTTAATATCTTTCAGTCTAGGGACAATGAATCAGAGTCCGATAGGCGGTACTTGTAATTTTGTTCACAAACTAATATAGAAGTCTGAAGAACTGTTAATTTGTGTTGAAAAAAAAGACGCATATGGAAAAGTATTGTCCTTTTTAATAGAAATTTTCATTGTGAGTTGTTTTCGGAAAGAGAAAGTGAGAAACTTATTTATGGGTAAACTAAATAGTTAATGCGTCTAGTGTAGACTCATTTCTGTTAAACCTACGCTAAAATGTCCGATGAATAATCAGTCGAGTCTTTTATAAAATCGTAGGTAATTAAAACTCCGATTTTGTAACTGCATTAAGTCATATAGGAAGCTTTCGTCTGACATATACATACTTCTCTTTTACTACCGGTCCAATAGCCACCAATATTCCAAAATTTTCCGCCTTTTCTCGTGATCGGATTCTCCCAATTTGCAATGTGGAACAGAGCTAATTGTTTCAAACACATCTTTGACTTTTCCAAGGAGAAACCACAATTTTCTCCATTATCACAATACGAAATATCTTCCATAATCAGTTTGAATTCGTTGTGAAATGTATTTTCAAATATATAGTACACTTTTGGTACTTTCAATCCTTG